CTTTTTCTATTTCAAACATCTAAATGATATCACCTTTACATATATTAGTTGTCCTTCTTTCTTCTTTAAATTAGAGTTGTCTCTCAATAACAAGGCTGTTCAACTTTATATTCTATTTGCCAGATTGTTGATTGAATTAATTTATATCTATAACCTAAGAGTAGGTGGATATCCATAGATCTTACTGGAATGTTTAGGGAAAAGTATGGTACCGAAAATAACTCTAAAATAATTCAGGGAAAATAATATGCAAGTGTGTGCATGTGTGTATGTGTATAATCATATATATGTATATATGAAGAAAGGGAGAATTGAAATTGGCTCAAAATATTAACATGTGGTGAATATGAGTAAAGATTATATGAAATTTTCTTGCACTGATTTGAAACTTTTCTATAAATTCTAAATTACATATAAATAAAAATTACATTTCAGGAAACTAATAAAAAATGTGAAAACATGGTTGACCACAATAATAAGCAAATTAATTCAACATAAATAGTCATATTTTTATCTAAAAAATTGTGAGGTAGCAGTCTGAAATGTGAATTCTTGGTATGCTCATGGCCAAAGAATGACCAGGTGCACCAAAGTCAGGCAAGTATGAAAATGAGGTTTATTAAGGAGAAAAAAAATAGAATTATAGAGCAAGAGCAAGATACAGGTTTACAGAGTGAGATACATATACCACAGATGATGACTGGACCCATTGTAGTAGCAAAAAAGGGAGAACAAAATGGGCTTGATTATGGTCTGGGTCTTGTTTAATAGCGTCTGGGTTGGGACCTCCTCGTTGCTTAGATGTCACCATGGAACCCCTTTGATTGGACAGTTGGGAGTTATATGACCTGAGTCTTATTGCACATGCAGATCTCCCATGAGCCTCTCTGAAAGCCCATGAGGGGGGGAGTAAATGGCAACAGCACACACTTTTGTCCCTAGGAAGCCCAGAATCCTTCACTATCTACCTGACAAAATGAATAAAATAGTAAAATATGTAATTATAAATTGTCTTTTGAGCATAAGAAAGTTATACACTTTCCTAAATAGCTGATGAGAGTATAAATTCCTCCTGTGTGGTGGAGATAGTTGGTCATCTATGTCTTAGCCATAAAAGTGTACATATATTTTAAACAATTATGATTTAAGTAATTATTTCATGAAAATAAGAAATGTTTTAAAGTATTTGCAATTATTATGTCCATTTTTATATTACTATTTCAAAGAGAAATTTAAAATAATCTACCTATTTAACGAAAGTAAGTTAGTTAAAGTAAAATATATGATTGTGTACACATAAAGGGAAGAAAAAAGAAAAGTATATAGATGGTAGCATAACAATTTTCCCAGGTGTTAGGCTGAAGAACTTTGTCTCTTACAGTGTGGTCTGTGAACTTCCCCAATCATTCTCACTTAGGAAGCCAATTTAAAAGATCCCTCTCTCAGTAAACTGAAGTCAAAGCCCAGGAGTGTGCTGGAGGAATCTGGATTGTAAATAGTTCTCTGATTGATTCAATAGCATACTAATTTATAATTTTTCTGAGAATAGAACTTTTTTGACACTTTTTTAATTTTGAAGTATTATGGGGTATAAATATTTTGGTTACATGGATTGCTCTTATAATGCTTGAGTCATGGTTATAAGTATGCCTGTCACCCTGAGGTAGAACTTTAAGAGTAGTCAAATGTTTGGGAAGAGTAAATTTAAGCCAAATCAACAAATTCTATTATAAACAAAGAAGCTTGCTGCTCTTTCTGTCTTTTTATGTTTTGTAAGAATGAGTTTCTCCTTTCTTTGCTCAAGCCCTGGTGCAATCTAGTTTGAGAACTTGTTTATATACTTTGATTCTCCTACTTTTGCCACTTCCCTGAAAATCTGCTAGTGTTCTAGGCTCTAATCAAATTGCTGGTATCTATAAAACTCTTTTACCTAAACTACCTACATCCTTATATAAAAAGCAGCACAGACAGACTTCCCAACATTCACTCTCCCTTAACTCCAAAAGATCTATATGGTGTCCCTTACTAATGTTACTTCCTATAGACACTTGCATATCAGCTGCTACCATATTCTCAAAAAATTTTGTTATGTGCAAGGGTGGACCTACTTTTAGTATTTGCAGAGAAATCCAACTACAAATATCTACCGCATCCAGGTGTAAGTGTCTAATCCCTTGGCTCAAGAGATTTGTTGAGATTGATTTTGACTAAGAACATTTCCCCTTTCTGTCAGAATTGTTGGAAACTGATTCCTATCTAATAGCCTGTGGAAGATTCAGGAGATTGAAAAAAATACATATACTTTGTACTAGACATATTCAGCTATTCCACTTCTAGGAAAATAAATCAAGAAAATAAGCAAAACCTGCACCAAAATATCCATATACAAAATACTTATTGTGATAATGTGTACATGAAAAAATATTAAAAATAACTTTAGTACTTGTATAATTTGGAGCAAATTGCTTAAAATCTTTGTTGTTAAATTTCCTCACCTGTAAATAGAGATAATAATAGTACTTACTTTAAAGGTAGTAGTGAGTTTTTAACAAATTAAAATATTTAAAGTGTTCAGATTAGTGTTTTCAAATAGTATTTTTTTACCTAACATAATAATTATCATACAATACCCAATTAATATATCACTCAGTAATTAAAATGTTTAATAGGAAATCAATACCATAAATTTAAAAGCAAGAAAAATTATGAAAACAAATGATTTTACTATTGCTACATATATTACTATAACCATGTAAATAGATTTTTAAAAGTTGAATACAATATACCAAATGATCTTTTCCCTCTGTGATATGTAAAATGTAGAAATATACTTATTCTTCTAATCCATATTTTTTCAGAGAATGCATTGCTCTTGTAAAAATAAGAAAGAATTAATCAAAGAAAAGTTTAGAGCACTATTGTGGCATTAGTATGCCTAAGAAAGTTTAATGTATAATATAGGACTAATGTTTCCCACATCATCTCAAATCTCGAGTGCTACTAACGAGAGAAAAGCCAGCCCAGTGGTAAAGGAGTTGCAATTAAACCTTAAAAGCAAAAAAACACTGTGACTGGCTAACCAAAAGCAATCCGAGAGCCAAGACTAGGATGGGTGTCCTCCACAAGCTTCAGCATATATGGTTGCAAAATCTGAGCAGTGTTAATGCCGTGTCAAGTGTCTTGTGGTATTTCATCAGTGTCACTTACAAGGCATACTCAACGGTTAACAGCAGGATCATTAACCATCCAGGCTGTGAGGTAATGGAATAGAACTTGCCTACTAACCCTGAAACAAGCTCACTGTGTGTGACCTACATCCTCCCGCTGGATGTGGATGAGAAAATGATGACACCACAGAAGCAAAGCAGCTGCTGTATGTTGAGCCACAAAGGAAGAAACTCTCAAGTAACACAGGAAGAAGAAATGCCTTAGAATGCACTGAAATAATGAATCTAATAATGTGGCATAGTTGAGAAATCTTGTAAGAAAAAGAACTAAAGGTGGATCACTGAACTAAAAACATTGAGCAGAGGAAAAGTTACCAGTTTTTATAATCAGTTTAAACAACATGTGTTAAAAATAAAAAATCTATTTTAACTGATTATTTCACTGTTTATCTTCCTGTTTAATGATGAAAATTAAATGTGTATATATGTGATATATTTTTTATAGTTGTCAGTGAATATCAGGGCATATAAAATGCTCTGCTGAATTCACACTAATATCAAAAAACATCCCTCAACAATTTCAGGGTTTGACAATAAAACCAACTACATGCTAGTGCAGAAAACAATACAGTGGACTTATTTTGGGGAGAAGAATTTTGACATTTGGATTTAAAAAATAATGTGACTTCAACCTATGGACTCTCATGTGGGCCATCAGAATGACTATATCTTAAACAGAAATCCATCACTTTACAAATCATTGCAAAATATTCAGTACTTCCTTTTAAAAAGCTTTTCCTCCTCTTATATATGTATTTTGTAACTTTTACATTACTAGGTTATTAAATAAAGTATAATCTAAATTACAAATTATTATGATTGTGAGGTTTATTATAAAGTCAATACTACGTAAGTAGAAATTTTCAGAGAAAAGATAATTTTAAAAAACCAAAATGGCTATTAGCTTGGAAGCAGTTAAGATGGAATGATATCAGCCTAATCTTGGTTAAAATTCTGTTTCCAAAACAGTGGGGGGATATATAGCAAGTTTCTGATTTTTATAAACTTTAGCTTTCTCATCTGAAAATATAGCTAATAATATTTAAATAATATATTTGTTGAAATAATATAAAATAGTTCATGTAAAGCGTCAGTTATAATAACTGTCAAAAGGTAGAATTACAGCAAATGCTAGTTCTAATATTTCCTTGTTTGAAATTTTAACACACTATTAAGAACCAAAAATGGGCTTACCTATAAATATCTGCCATCTTATTAGTCCACAGTGAGCCCAAAATTGAGAGATTTAAAAGAGAAAGCTATCATTTACAAAATGTTAACAATGTACTGCCTTGAGAAGCCAAACATTAATGAGTTATTGAAAGGTTTTATTTTTCCCCAAATATCTATTTCAAGGAAAATAAGCCTGGAAGACAAATATATCTCCCATAGCATGTGCACAGCTGTTTGACAAATGTGTCTTTTCTATAGAGTTTGGTAAATATTGTTCACTGTATTTTTCCTGGTTTGACCAGAAAATTGTGACTTACTATGTATGACTTCCAGCAGAGGCCCCAGAATACGAAATTACTAATGCTGGCTGAGATTTGTGTGACTTAAATAAGTGTTTGGGTATAGGAATTGGAAGGGGATACATAGCAGAAACATTCACTCAGTTAATAGAACTAATCTTTTGATTTGCATAGCTTACATCAACAGGGTAATTATTTTGTTTCCTATTTTCTCTTTTACTATCTTTTCTAACTGCACCATTTTAACAGTACACTGGAATTCAATAACAACTTTTTAAATAAAAAATATGTGCATCTTCAAATCTTAAGACAACCATAGAAAAAAATGTATATTATGTAAAAAAGAAAAAAAAACAACTTAAAAGTTCTGATAGTGTTACCAAATAAACCTTGTGAATTTTCTGTTAAATTTCAACTTCTTTTAGTTAAGCAAGCTTCTATACTTTTTCCCCCGCACTCTTAGAAGAGCACCTGCAGTTGTAAAACATGAATCCGGTAATACTTCTGTAAATGAATCACTATTGCATTCATCCCATTAGCCTCTGAACAGATGTCAGAAAGTGAAGATTGGCTGCCTCTAGATCAAGTTGCTGCTGCCAACTCTCGCGAGCTTTGTCAGTAACAGTTGATTGTAATGTCAGTGCGGTCCAATTTACAGGCTGGAGCAGCAGCTGCATCCTGTATTTCTCTGAAGTATTACATGATTTTTACTCCTTGCAAACTTTATCATCTTTGTTGCAGAGTTGGGTAAGTTGCTCTGAATTTACACTTTCGTGTAAAGATCCAAGTTACTGTGAAGCTCCTTCTGTGGAAGTAGTGTGATCTCTTCACGTGTTTGCTATGCCCCTTGGGTGCTCTGTGGGAAACAGTCACCGAAGCTTGCATGTGGGACAGAGGAAGCAAGCGAGCAGGCAGATGCATCAAATCTTCCTATTCAGGGAAAACAGACTCCGTTCATTTGACGGCTGAGGAAATAATGAATTTATTTAATTTTGTATAAAGAACTGTAGCACTTGTGGAATCACTGTGATGTACATTCTTAGTGAGCTTTCTAAGGGAAAGCATTTTATACTGTTTTAATCTTAAATGCATTGTTTAGTTAATCTCTCCCTATGAATATCAAAAGTAGTCTTTCACCAGTCTTGCTCTATTTTTCTTTCCTTATTTTAAAGTGGCATGGAATTAATAATTTTCTTGTTTTGCTAAGCAATTTTCTTAATCAACATTTTGTCAGCTGGAACTTTAGCAAAATCGATTGACAAATAAAAGTTTCTTTTATGTAAAGGAAAATCTATTTCCTAGTGATTTACAAACTTGTCCTCTTTGCCTTGTTTGTTCTCTTCCTTTTCTATGTGTGTTTAAATTGTAACAAAACATCTTACATTTGCTATTAGTTTTATTATTATAGAAATAAGCAAATATAGACTTTCTGCTCATCAGGTAATCTCATAAACTTACTATTACCTTGATGACATTGGTTCCAATTTAACCAGGGAATTAAGCATCAAAAAGTATAAAATGTATGAGTGATTAAGAGTAAACTGGAATATGAGCAAAATAATTTTATTGTTTATGATTTCTATGTTTTTATATTATGAGTATATCTTATTACTGTTTCATGATAATAAACTCAATCAGGAGTTACTATCTCTAGTTTATGTAATGCCTTACTTAATATAAACTATCCCATAGTTATGATAAATACAAAGTTAATTTATTTAAATAACTATTTTGTTTAAGAAAAAGTATGAGTTTTTAAAGTGTGACTTTATAATTTAAATGAAAATTTTTAGAATTCTCTCTAGATATGAAGTAGCAGAGCCTTTTGGATGCCACTTAAATTTTCTTGTGGGATTTACAAAGTTCTATTTATTCTCCTAGATTTTGTTTGTTGTTGTTTGTTTGCAGTATTCTGCTTCTTTAATTATAAAAATGTGTTTGGGATCTACTCTGTATTTCATTTTTATAAAGCAGAAACTAATAATATCTTCACAAGTCACATTTTATCTAAAAATTTTGTTCCTGTTTTGATTAATTTCTGTAACAATAATACATATTTAAATTATGTGTTGTCTTCATTTTGATGCTTTCTTGCCAAAATCTGCTTATTCTTACCAACACTAGACTGTCCCAGATGTTAGAAAATTGTAATTGAATAAATAACAACCTGAGAGCAGATTCATTTTTCAAAGAAGACTCAAGACTAATAATTTATGCTCAAATTATTTATACAATGAAAAGTTTGTGAACTTTCTTCCTGTCTAGACAGATACAGATCTTATGCTTCTCATACCTAATGTAATGTCTTCTATCTGTACATATCCTTTCAATGACTAATGGGTATCTGATGAATCCCTGAAAAACAGTGGTATAGTCTATTTATAAACAAACTTCCTCGATTTCCTACTTCGCTTGCCACAAATAAAAACATTTTAGGTTTGGTAGAAAGACTTACTTTTTTTAATTTGCCCAAACACATTTAATGCTGCTTGTTCTAGACCATATTAATATTTTCTAGATAGTGCTTTCTCTACCATTTTAAGAGGCTTTGGTTTTAAGTAGATTTATGCATTTTATTATAATTTTTAAAAGACAGGAACATTATTCTACACCCAAAGAAAACTGTTATGAATATTCACTTGACCATCCTTTAAGAAATTCCTGGCTGGTCCATTATTTTGAAAGTTTGATTACTATTCAAGTATGCCAAATAGATGGCAAATAAATAGCTCTTCATATCAATTATTTTAGCACACCCATATTTTATAGCATAGCATTGTACATTTCTTTTTTAAATTGGCTGAGGAATTTTGATACTTCCTTCACAATTGAATTAAAAATGCAAAAAAGAAATAATTTTATGTTTTTTAAAAATTTTAACTGTTATATTTTTTAAAGTTTAGAGTTTTCCACAAATTGCCAATAAATTTTGATATCCTGGAGCATTTGATAAACTTGAAACACAATAGTACTAATTTATCCTTCAGGTATTTCCCCTCCTACTCCCATCAATCATTTTCTTTTGCAATTCCAAACAAAACTCCCACCTTTCTTCCAAATATTAAATAGTATTTTAATAAGCTAACTGATCTAAATTCAGATAATCACTTGTACTTCGAGGGGAAAATTTCCCCCATTCTTTATAATAGACATGTTATATACTTTCAGAGTTTAAGTGCTTATTTAATATGACAGTAGCCAATTGCATCAGACTTTATGGAAGGAAAAACAATGAAGTCTTATTAAATATTTTAATAATTAATAAAAATTTTGAGGTATAGACTAACAAGATTCTTAGTGTCCTTTTTTAATTTGCCTTTTGATTATTTAATTATATGATAAACGTATTGAAACTTTTCAAATTTTTTTAATGGAAAACTACAGAGTAACATGTTAGAATAGAGAATACCAGATTATGAAAAAGTCAATATGATGCGTCTTTAAATAAAGTATTATAGCCTAATATTAATATATCAGCCTACACTAACAATGAGTATGTGAACATCTGCATATTTTCATGTTGAAGTACAGATTTAATAACATGATTTATAACACTGCAACAGGTACAGATGAGTTGGAATTATCACTTTTGCAATGAATGCATTTACATTGATTATTTTCAATGTTACTAATTACATTATTTACAAGGTGATCACTCAGATATCACTACTGAAAAAGTAAGATTTTAATTCATATAATTAGTATTATATAATGTTAAAATCTATGTAGCACAAAATATAAATAAAACATGTAAGAAATGGTTATTAAATCAAACTAAGTGACATGACATTGATATTACAACCTTTTAGATGTCATAGCAGTTGTGTGGAAACTTATACAATGAAAATTATATTTATTGATTATACACACAAAAATATATTTTGGTAGTAATTATAGTACTAGCTTTGCAATAAAAGTAACAAGCTATCTATATAGAAAAGTTTCAGAGACCAAATATTTGATGTTTGTTTTTTAAAGAAACATAATATTTAAATGAAACCAAGGTGGGGAATAGATGATCTTTGCTTTAGACTCAGAGGAAAACTGACTGAGCTAGTCAAGGGAAAGGAACGAGTACAACCTGGGATGCTGCAATTAATTTGTTAAAATGCAGTTGAAATCAAACCAGCTTTGTACCTCTTTATTCCTTTTTCCCATCCAAAGCAGTTTTTCAAAAGAGAAATCCATCATAGCACTTTCTTCTCCAAATGCCCACTTCCATTTATTTAAGAGAAAAGACTTATTAATTATCAAGAAAAAAAAAAAAGGATTGTGGTAGCAGCAGTGCCTCTGAAACTTCTATTCTGTTAGGAATAAAAAATTTCATTTGGCCAGGCATGACGGCTCACACCTGTAATCCTAGCACTTTGAGAGGCTGAGGCAGGAGGAAGGAGGATTGCTTGAAGTCAGGAATTGGAGACCAGCCTAAGCAAGAGTGAGACCTTGTCTCTACAAAAAATAGAAAAATTAGCCGGGCACAGTGGCACACACCTATAGTCTCAGCTATTTGGGAGGCTGAGGCAGGAGGATCACTTGAAGCCAGGAGTGTGAGGTTGCAGTGAGCTATTATGACACCACTGCACTCTATCCCTGGCAACAAAGTGAGACCCTGTCTAAGAAAGAAGGAAAGAAGGAAAGAAAGAAAAGAAAGAAAAGAAAGAAAGAAAGAAAGAAAGAAAGAAAGAAAGAAAGAAAGAAAGAAAGAAAGAAAGAAAGAAAGAGAGAGAGAGAAAGAAAATTCATTAGTAGATATCAGGTTTCAGGAAACATTAAATCATTGTTATATATCATTTATTTATGATTATTCCTAGTCACATTATGCAGTCATAATGACATTTAGTCAACAACCCACCCTATTTTCACTGTACCTTTTCTATGCTTGGATAGGTTTAGATGCACAAACAACATACCATTGTGTTACAACTGCCTACAATATTCAATACAGTAACATGCTATACAGGTTTGTAGCCTAGAAGCAATAGGCTGTATCATATAGTGTAAGGGAGTGGTAGGCTATACCACCTACACTTGTATAAGTATAATACAGTCTATGATGTTTGCACAATGAGGAAATCACTAACAGTGCATTTCATAAAATGCATTACTGTCATTAAGCCATGCATGACAGTACATTTATTATAATTATAATAATACCTAAAAATTATGAGTATAGAAATTAATGTTAAAATATTATATATTTCAATAATATATTTTATTGATTTTGAACATCCAATTATATCAAAACTGAGAATAAAAAATAATAATATGTGGCTTGATAAAATATAGCAATTTTATGAATAGATATGTTTACATATATATGAATATTGATAAAATTAAGTATAGACATAGGTATAGATATATCCATTAAGTATCCAGCCCTGAACAAAATGCTATACACCATTGATTAATTGATTCAGATATTTGTTGGAATCCAAAAATACTTCCTGATCACTAGCTATCCTATGCCCATTGGTGAATGAAGCTGATTTAAACATCCAAATATTCTAGGTCTAGGACATAGGTATCGTGATAATTCCTTATTCTCTGCCTTGTAAGACAATCTCAATTAAACAAACAAGTACAAATGTTTGATGCTCATAGGATTAGTTTCTTGGTTGCATAGGTCGGATTTACAATTACAGCATCTGACAAAATAATAAAGGAAAGATTTTGTACATTTATGGACCTTTGCTATTATTATGTGGATGAGAATCAGCATTTGTAATTGACCATTTTATTTGAGTTTCTTCCAGTTATATAAAGATGTTATTTCTTTTAAATGATACTTTCTTTACATTTTTTGTCCTTCTTTATCACATGGAGTTGCAGAATCTTTTTAAAATTTTTTTGTTATTTAAAAGAGACTAAGGTCTGCCTTATAAGTTTTTGATAAAACTTTGCTCTCCCTAGTAGTCTCTTTATGTTATTAAATAAAAATTGTTTTATAAAATACAAAATACTTATGATTTTATAACTCACAAATATTACTTTTGCTTCTTCCATTTGTCCCCATATCCTCAAATTTCAGTTATTTTGTCCACTGTAAAAATAGAAGTAACTCTGGCTATGCTAACACATTAAACTTCATTATTTCCATATACTTTAATCAATTAACAAATTAGCATAACATTGTACATTGAATAAACCCAGGGGGTAAAAAGTTTTTAAGCTACTATCTTCTCCCACACATTATAATACCAGCCACTGGTTCTCACCATTGACATTGTAATTCAGATAGAGAAGCTTTTCATGGTTATTAAATTTTAGAGAAATTGCCTGTTATGTATACCAAGTTTTGCTTTTTATATTTTTCCATGGGCCTTTTTAGTGGTAGTGTGCTTGTTAGTTTTCACAATTTGTAGATAAATAATAGCTACTATATACTTTTTTTTACTTAACATTCTAGGAATAAACTGACTAAATTCTCTTCTGATTATAGACTAAGATTAGATAGAGGAAAATACCAGTAGGCCAAAAGGATCACAGAGAAGACAATGAAAACAGACAAGGACAATAACGGAAGTCTGTAGATTCTTAAAAGTTCTTAACATACTTCGCAGTTCTGTCAAGAGCCAGCCAACCATATTTTAGAGAATAAATGAGCTTATATTTTCTCCTCCAACAACGATAGAAATTATTTCTGACATAAGTAGACTACCGCTTATTTGTTGTTTTGGCAGAGATGTATATATATAGACAGAAGTAATATTATACAAGCCTACAACAAACTTTTTATTTAAACTACTAGTTCTTCCTTACAGAGATTTTGTAATAAATATCTCCAAAATGAAATATGTTTAGTTTCTATGTCATTTATATCTTTTCTAAATTGAAAACTGAAATTTCTTCAACTGTTTTCTATTTTTTTCTACATAGGCCTTTACAGTGGTAGTGAATTTGTTTTCATGACTTTTATTATTAATAATAACTACTATATTTTAGTTACTTATCATCAATAAAGTATAGCACTATATGCATGAGGCTGGTAAAACTTCCTACTTACCTCTCTTTCAGAAATCAACATGCATAGCAAGGACACAATCATATACATCAGATTTCTCTTGTGGTTTCTTCTGCTCTGCGTGCTTATTGAAAAGTCACAAAATGAAGATGACATCATAATTGCAACCAAAAATGGAAAAGTCCGAGGTATAAATTTGCCAGTTCTTGGTGGTACAGTAACAGCCTTTCTTGGGATTCCCTATGCACAGCCACCTCTTGGTAGACTTCGATTCAAAAAGCCACAATCCCTGACCAAGTGGTCTGATATTTGGAATGCCACAAAATATGCAAATTCTTGCTTTCAGAACATCGACCAGAGTTTTCCAGGCTTTCATGGATCAGAAATGTGGAACCCAAACACTGACCTCAGTGAAGACTGTTTATATCTGAATGTATGGATTCCAGCACCTAAACCGAAAAATGCCACTGTAATGGTATGGATTTATGGTGGTGGTTTTCAAACTGGAACATCATCTTTACATGTTTATGATGGCAAATTTTTGGCTCGTGTTGAAAGAGTTATTGTAGTTTCAATGAACTATAGAGTTGGTGCCCTAGGATTCTTATCTTTACCAGGAAATCCTGAGGCACCAGGGAACATGGGCTTATTTGATCAACAGTTGGCACTTCAGTGGGTCCAAAAAAATATAGCAGCCTTTGGTGGAAATCCTAAAAGTGTAACTCTCTTTGGAGAAAGTGCAGGAGCAGTTTCAGTTAGCCTTCATTTGCTTTCTCCAAGAAGCCACCCACTGTTCACCAGAGCCATTCTGCAAAGTGGATCATCCAATGCCCCTTGGGCAGTAACATCTCTTTATGAAGCTAGGAACAGAACGTTAACCTTAGCTAAATTTCTTGGTTGCTCTAGAGAGAATGAGACTGAGGTAATAAAGTGCCTTCAAAATAAAGATCCCCAAGAAATTCTTCTGAATGAAATATTTGTTGCCCCCTATGGTACTCTCTTGTCAGTAAACTTTGGTCCAATCGTGGATGGTGATTTTCTCACTGACATGCCAGACATACTACTCCAACTGGGGCAATTCAAAAAAACCCAGATCTTGGTGGGTGTTAATAAAGATGAAGGGACAGCTTTTCTAGTATATGGTGCACCTGGTTTTAGCAAAGATAATAACAGTATCATAACTCGAAAAGAATTTCAAGAAGGTTTAAAAATATTTTTTCCAGGAGTAAGTGAATTTGTAAAGGAATCAATCCTTTTTCATTACACAGACTGGTTAGATGATCAGAGACCTGAAAACTACCGTGAGGCCTTAGATGATGTTGTTGGGGATTACAATATCATATGCCCTGCTTTGGAGTTCACCAAGAAGTTCTCAGAATTGGGAAATAATGCCTTTTTCTACTATTTTGAACATCGCTCCTCCAAACTTCCTTGGCCAGAATGGATGGGAGTGATGCATGGCTATGAAATTGAATTTGTCTTTGGTTTACCTCTGGAAAGAAGAGTTAATTACACAAAAGCAGAAGAAATTTTGAGTAGATCTATAATGAAACGCTGGGCAAATTTTGCAAAATATGGGTGAGTGCCAATTTTTATAATTGTTCTTCTCTCGTTTTGTTTGTTTTCTTTTTTTTGCTTAGCTTTACTTGGTCTCTAGTGTAGAGTTTATTAAAGGCACAGAAAAGTTCTAATTGTTTATTCTCTGTGTACCTAACCTGGCTTTGTTTTTTTTATTATTAAGTGAATTTCAACACCTTGTGTCAGAGTGCTTAAAAGAAATTATTATCCTAAAACTTAATGGCAGATATTTTCTTATTTCATCTCTGAAATATTTCAAAGTACTTAACAATCTTAGTTAAAATTCATATGGAAATAGATGCTCGTCTTCAGAACTAAAAGTATTGTGATAGTGCTGTTTAACATGCAAGTTTATAATGTTCACAGACTTAGGAAATAGTAAATATATATCTTTCGTGCTCTTAAGCTTGGTACAGTAGTAGCTGATACATCAAGAAACATATCTCTGCCCAGGAAAATGAAGAGGCATGATGGTGATGGGGTTTGCCCTCAGATTAACCACATACACAACATTTGCGATTCTATATTTTTGAATATAGATAGGTTTGTTCTGAGCTCTCACATAACCTATGTTCAACTGGAAATATGAAGGTCCTCATGTTTAGCTAAGCTGTTGTCCACTTGAGCAATCTTATGGCTGACATTAGATAATCAGAGACATTACAAAAGCACAAATTTTCCAACATATGTTGTAAATATTGTGATAATATGTCTTCAAAAGACAGAAAAAATAACCATTTGGAATATATTTTCTAAAGGTATGCATATATCTATACAGAATAAGATCCTTTTTTTTTTTGCTACATTTGTAACCCCAAAACAAATTTTATACATGACAGTAATTTATGCCAATGGAATAATAAAAAATAGAAATTCAGAAGTTTATTTTTAAAATAATTGCTTATATCAATCATAAATTGATTGTTACAGTAATTCAATCTGTCATGCTGCCTTTTATAATTAAACAGAATGCCAATAATGATATTATTGCTTTCTGGTTTTCTTCTCTACCATCCAATTGGAATTCTCTCTACTCCATATTACTTTGTGTATATTTTTACAATATCAGTTGTAAGATATAATTCTTCTCAATATTGTTTGATATTTATCCACTGTGTATAAAGATAAATTCTTCCACCTAACATTGAGGGTCCCCTACAATCTTGCTGCAGTCTTCATTACCCAACAACACCTGACTGCAGTGTAAGCCACTTTTTTCACTAATGCCAAAGATTTGAAGCCTAACTGAACCTTACAGTTTTGTGCTTCTTATGTGCCCTGTATAGACCTACCCCAATCTCTTAATAACATAGTTCTCCTTTTTATTTATTTATTTTTATTTTAGCATATTATGGGGGTACAAGTGTTAAGGTTACATATATTGCCCATACCCCCCTCCCCCCTTGAATAAGAGCTTCAAGCGTGTCCATCCCCCAAACGTTGCACATCTTACTCATTGTGGTTATATATACTCATTCCCTCCTCCCCCATCCCACCTTTTTTTAACGTCTTGACCAACTACACATTGATGTAACATATTATTTTTTTTTAATTTTTTTAATATTTTTTATTAATGTTTGGGCTATACCAGAAGATGTAACATATTACTTAATTCCTAGAGTTGCAACTACTTCAAACCTCTTTTTCATTTTCCCAGGAGTTATTTATGGTAACTTGTCTATATTATACCCTTATTTGTAAGCTGAACCTCCTCAACTATACTAAACAAGCTCTTGAAACAGAAACCGTGATTTTTTTTGGATATTCATTTAAGTACTGAGATGAGTATATATCATACTTAAATATTTGGCTAGTGATTGAATGAAAGCTGGTAAAAGCTAGTGTGAGTAAAAAGTATAATTTTATTGTTTCTTTAAGATATGTGGGTTATTATATTATACACATCTATGAAATAGTTTATGCCTTTTCAACATCAGTCTAAATTTCTGCTCAAGAAAAGAAGGATCATCACAATTTTAGAGCTGCATTAGAATTACTTTTATATCATTCTGTTCCCTCCCTAGAAACTATATCCATATTGAATCATTTGAATGGTTTTAATACTTTCTTAAAATTCTAGAGATTGTAAATAATTAAGTAGAAATGTTTCTTAAAATTGTTGATGCCTGAAATTGTCAATGGAGTTCATATTTTGCATATTGAAATCATGAAGGAATTTATATTTTCTCATTGCACAGCCGGGAACACTGAAAATCAGATACGTTAAATGTCTTGTTTATGGCACACACACAGCAACAGCTTAAAAAAGAGAATCTTTGACATTTAATAGAATAAATTATTTAATTCTAATCTAGTACTTCTTCTGTGATTAACATTCTAATGGAAAACGAATAAAGGTTAACATTTTAATTACAATAATAAATTCATATAATAGAGATTATAAACCTTAAAGGGTTAAAGTAAATTCTGTAAAGCAGTATAGCCATAACAGCATATTATTTTAGTAAATGATTTTCTTTACAATCTCTATTTGCACAGTTGAATAGAAATAATAATACATCATATGTATTAAGAGCTGACTTGATGGCAAACATAATGATAGCTCTTGGTGCTCATTATCTACTTTCAAAGTATATGTATGGATAAATATAGAGGCCTTTTATTTTTATTTTTAATTTGTTATTTTAGAATATTGTGGGGGATAGAAATCCTTTGGTTACATATATTGCCTTTGCACCTCCTGAGTCAGAGCTACAAGTATGCCCACCCCACCCCCAGACAGTGCACAAAGCGTCTGTTAGGTGTTAATTTACCCATATCCTCCTCTCGCTTCCAATTGCCCAATCAGTACCATTAGGAAAAACAAGCACCACATGTACACACCATCAAATTGGTTTTAACTGTTCAACACTTAAGTGCACATATAGTAATAACATTCATTGGGTGTCAGACAGATGGGAGAGGGAAGACATGTTAGGTATATACACACCTAATGGGTGTGGTGCACACCATCTGGGGGATGGACACGCTTGAGCTCTGACTTTGGTGGGGCAAAGGCAATATATGTAACCTAAACATTTGTACCCCCACAATATGCTGAAATAAAACAAAAAATAAAAATAAAAATTGTTAATATACTCTAAAAATGTGTGTTCTTCAGTTATTTGATATGATGAGTTCTGTAAATTAATTAGTTCATAGTTATCAGGTCTTCTAATATTCTTTCTAATATTTTTGTTACTTGTTTAAAATACTGAGAGAAAAGTGTTAACATCTCTAACTACAATTATTTTCTTCATCTAGCCCTGCTTATTTTTTTTATCATTTTGTTTATGTTAACATATATATGCTATATTTGTTTATATATTCTGTGCACATTAACATTTATTTATTCCTGATAAATATACTGTTTTATCATTATAAAATTTCTCTCTTTGCCCTGAAGTTAGCTTTGTCTAATAGTAAGATAGAGTTTCTCGAAACTCATAAGTTTGAGAAATTCATAAATTTCTCAAACTTATGCTTAAATGATATATTTTGTTTCATCTTTTCATTTTCAATCCATCTATATTTTTAATGAATCCTTTCTTATAGTTGATGTGATTAATCCATTTGCATTATTTTTATATTATCATTTGCATTAATCCATCATTGATTAATCCGTTTGCATTATTTTATATTGTATTTATATTTATAATATTATATTATTATATATTATCCTTTGTATATCTCATTCAGTTATACAAAACTCATTTTTCAGTTACTTTAGAAAATTTTATCAAAAATGTTTGAAAATTGTTTTAATTTGATTTTTTAGCAAACATTAAAAGTTGTTCTTTGATGACACTAAATGATATTCAAATTTGGTATCTTTAGCTATAGTGTTTAAGATTTCTTACAAAATAGAAGCCACAGTACAATTTAGGCCTTTTTTAATTGAAATTACTCCCTATATATATCCTTTATTTGCCCATATCTTTCTCTAATCCCATCTAAAAAATGAACTTAAAAACTTACCCAAATAGCAAGCAGGTCCATATGTGCATTATATCCAATATCCTATCACAATATGTTGAACTATCAATACAACATAAATGTTAGCCACCAGTCATTCATCTAAGCAATAACTTGATGGCCAAAAAATTAAATTAAACAGCACTTAGTGATGTATTGTCAGCACTATTCCAATGGTGGAAGAAATTGGTAAAATCAAACTTGGTTTATTACAGAGACCAAAATACTAAAAAAGGAAAATAAGTCAGAATACAATTAGTAGCATAACATAAAATAGAGGAGATCATTATTTCAAGCCTTCTCAGATTGCTTCCTACTCTTGCAGACAGCCTTTTCTTTATGTTTTCCTGACTGGGTTCTCTATTCAGAGCTTTTCAGTGTACAGTCTCAGAGCGAGCCATTCATAGGGCAGTTTCACAGTCTTCCAGATCCTGTGCAAGAACCACTCTGACATGTCCAGGGTTAGTCTTTCTACAGATCCTTTGTATATGTAATTTAGGCAAGTTACTAAAAATCCCAATTTTTTTCTTATCTTTAAAATGGGAATATAAATATACCTACCTTGTTGACATATTAAAATATACCTTAGCAATAGGGACTCCTCGCCAGTAAAAAAAGAAAATAATAATAATAATAATAATAATTCAATTCCTCCCCATGTCAGGCATAGACTACTTCAGTCTATTCTCATCATTTAATCTCATCTAAATTAAACTTGGCTTCCTCCCAAAAGTGTACCATTGTTTCATTTCTTGGCTCAAGCTAATTAATTAATCAATTAAGTTTTCAACCAAATAAAGGTAAACTCCAAAATTGAGGTAATTAACTTCTATATTTTTAGTGATAATTCATTTATTCAGAGCTTCTCTGAAATGGTTAATGTTTCCTAATGCCTTTTGCCAGAAATAAATGTTATGACACATCACTTTTAGTTTGTTCTATTTTGGTATCAAAAAACCAAAAGGTTACTAACAAAGTAATTTAAAAGTAACAACACAGAAGGATGTTACTTTTAAGGATGTTAC